AGGACCTCCCTAAGTTCCGTTCATTCAGCGCCACTGTAACTTCAAACAGTCACTAAATGAGTGGCTATTAAGGGAGGACTCCCTGTACAAAAAAGAAATGGGCTTTCATTTTGAGGCTAAATTTTTACTGAATCTGGGTTGAGAGGGTTGTATGAATCCAGCCAGGAGGTGCTGAGCCCTGTACCCGCTTGCACCCGAACATTATCCAGGGACATCCATTGGGAAAATTTGCTGGCACAAATGTTTGGCTGGCCACAATGTTGGGGGGGGGGGGGGGCCTTTTGAGGAGGCCAATGCTTCTGTTCCCCTGAGAAACACCGTCCCTCACTTGCTTCTCTTGACTGGCTTCTGGTTTGAACCTCTGCATTAGTACAGACTGGCAGGTCAGCGTAGCCCAGATCTGCCCATGAATTTGGACTCTGGTGCCAATCTCTCAGGTGCCGTGCCCTCTTCCAACCCATCGGTCTTTGGGTGCTTCCTGCGGCTCTCCAAGATGGGGGAGGGGCACTGAGAACGTGCAGTGGCTCTTAGGTAGAAAGAGCTCCCGCCAGGTGGGCAGAGCTGCTCTGCTCAACGGGCACTTGGCACCAAAACTGCTCTGGGCTGCTGGGAGGCAACCTTTGGATAAGCCCAATGAGTTCTTGGAGGGCCCCAGATCAAAAGGTGGGGCCACCAAGATCAGGCCTGTCATGCCTAAAGGCAGCCCTTCCACTGCCAGCCCCTCAGGCCTTAAGGCAGAGGCGCAGGTGTGCACCATCACACACCTGGGCTTCTCCTGCAGAGCTCAAGCTGTGGCAAAGCCCCCTACGGAGACCTGGCAGGGATCTCAGAGCTGCCTCTGCCTTCATCCCTGGGGGGAGAGATGCCCCGATGCAGTTTTCCCCTCCCGGGTGTGCATTTGCTAGGAAGCACAGAATTGTCCCAGGAGCTACACCAAAAGCCCGTGGAGCAGCCCCGTTTGGTGGCACCCAGAGTGCCCTGCTTGGCTGCTGTCGGAAAGGAAGGTGGCCTGGCTTGCCACCCCCAGCTTCCAGGTCCACCTTGTACCAGATTCCTTGCCCGGGTGGGCGGGAGAGGAGCTCACACCCTCAGCTGACTTCGGTTCTCAGGGAGGTTGTGATGAAATCTATGGTAGGAAGAACGCCTCTGCTTTGACATGGCCAGATGGTCCCCAAGGCTTTTCGGTTGCTGGTGCCAGCTCCCCTGCTGGACCAGTTGCTTGGCAGGACCCCAAAGGCTTTCAGAGGGCACTTGGGCTGTTCCCCAAAGTGGCTAGCTGCCGCCTGGCACCAACAGGCAAAAAGGCCCTGCAGCTTTTCATGGCTGGTTGTTCCTGGGGGGCTCCCTGCTTTTTCCAAGAGGCCCAGAGGAGGCAGCAGAAGAGACACCTAGCTTTCTCTCTCTCTCTCTCTCTCT